ATCCACCCACTCTCCACCCATTCATCCACCCATCCATTCATCCATCCATCCATCCACCCACTCATCTATCCGCCCACCCTCCACCCATTCATCTACCCATCCACCCATCCACTCATCCATCCACCCATCCATCCATCCATCCAATCTTCTCTAATGGGAACATACCACGTACTTGTCAGGAAGCTGCTTTTCACACTCCACATTACCTTCCATATGAAACGGACATGTTGTGTCAACAAATGTTAAACAAACTGGCTCCAGTGCTGGTTAGTGGAGTTTGGGGTGGAGGTGGTGGGAAACTATCTCTGAAGTGTTGTTTCTCTGGGTTCTGTATCTATGGGGTAAACCTAGGCTTTGCCTTGGTACCTTTGCAGATCGATAACGTTTGCAGTCAGAGGTCTTGGCAATAAGAAAGATCATTCCAGAAAGATCTTCAAAATCAAAAGTAACCATCTAAATTTTTATGCCCCTTGTTATTTCCCATCCCCCTGATCAGGCAGGGGTTTCCTGGGGGAAGGGACTGTGTGTCTCTTGCACCTTTCATCAGACAGGAGGTTTCCTTGCCAGAGGGATTTCTCCCTCCCCCATCCCTCTGTGCGCATGCCCACCCTAGACCCGTGGGTGGGGGAGTTCTGGTTTCCACATCCTTCGTTCACTCTGTATAATGATCCCCAAGAATGAGAGGACTGCATGGCTGGGGAGAGGTATCCTCTGATTCCAGAGGGAAGCTTCTTTTCATCACCGCTGATACCCAGTACAAAGGGAATTGAATGTCACCTGTAATTTATCATCTCCACTCAAAGATCTAATACGCATGTACAGGTCTTACAGTACGTCTGAAACAGCCCACCCCCAGCCTTCCCCATCTCTCTGACAACAGCTCATCCTTCTAGCTGCTCGGGCCACAAACTCCCTGGACATCCTTGACCACGGTCTCTCACCCCAATGCCTATGTCAGTTCTATGTTCAAGATACATTCAGAATCCAACCACTTCTCAGCGCCTTCACAGTTACCCCTGGGACCCGGCCACCACCATCTCCCGCCTGGACGACAGGGAGAGCCTCCCTGAACCACCCCACGTGATGCACATTGTACTCATTTAACTTCGCTGACGATCTGTCTCCCCCAGAATGTAAATGTTGTCGGAGCAGGGATCACTGTCCGTTCCGTTCATAGCTATGTCCCTGTCACCTGAAAGAGTGCGTCACACATCAATGATGCCTGACAAACATTTGCCAAAGGAGTAAATGAAATTCTACAAGCACCTTCAGAACAGATTGGAGCCAGCACCTGTAGTCCTGAGCCAAAAGGAAGGGGGGGTTTCAGAAAAGAATCAGTGCACTCCAATCCAGTGCTTGGGCTGCCCAAGGATGCTCACCTGGGATGGCTTCTGCCATCTGTGGGGTCTGGGCACAAGGACAGAACCTCACCTGTGGTGGTGGAGGGGCAGTGCAGTGTCCTGCAGTGAGCCAGGTACATTCGTATGTAAGTTATGGCTCTGCAGTTAGTTCACTAGCAGCACGGCCCACAAGGATGGGAGTATCTCGTTAGCATTTCTTCTGGTGAATACTAAGTACCAGGCACCTCGCTAAAGCTCCTATACATAGTTCATGTTCACTCCCTATCATCTCCATGGAACAGGTACCATTGTTATAGCTGCCAGGTTAGACCTGGGGAAACCGAGCTATGACGAGGTTAAACAATTCGATAGTGATCTTGGGTGCTGAGACTCAGCACTGGCACATAGTCAGCCCTCATAAACTGACATCACAACAGCAAGGGTTAAGGCCCCAAGGGTCTGAGAGGGGAGCTCAGGGGCCTCTAGGAAGTTCTGTGGTAGCTCCTGCTGGCAGCTGAACCCCGCTTCACTTGGGCCCTGTTTCTCCACCCTTCAGGGAAGCCTTAGGCGCCTCCTCCCTGGACCTCCTGGATTGACAGCCTTGAGTGAGCAGGACCAGAGGGCGGGGAGCCAGGAGGTGGGATCTGGCTCAGGCAGGCTAATCAGGTCTCAGGGTGAAATTAAAAGGGAGGAGGAGAGCACCAGCCCATCAGAATTCACACTACTTTCTGAGGACAAGGTGCCCAGGAGAGGAGCTGGGGAGCCAGGGGACAGGATGGCCCCACAGAGAGCTGTGCAGCTGTCCCTGAAGTCGCCCACCCACGCTGTGTGTGTGGTGGGAGTCAAGACGCTCGTGGACGTTCACAGGTGAGAGCTAGGAGGGACTCACCTGGCTGTAGAGAACCAGGCTAGAATGAAGGGCCCAAGGCAATGGGATGGGTGCCAGTGTGCAAATCAGGCAAGCCAGGGGATGCTCGTAGGAGGTTGTTTTGATATTGTTTTAATACCAGAGAAGATGGAGTTGGCCACAGATCCTGGCAGGAGGGATTAGGGTCTGGTCACGTCCTCCCCAAGGCTCTGGCTCTGGAGCTACCAGATCAGGACATTGACTTCAAGCTGCTGGATAAGGGCCTGGCCTCAGGATTTTAACTCTGAGGTCAGGCTTGGGGTATGGGCTCTTGTTCTGACATCCAGGGGAGCTGTAGAGCATCAGAATGAATTGTCACTCAAGACAGGGAAGACAATTGGTCCTCTTCTCCCCTCTCTCAATTTCTCACCGCCCCCACCCCCGTTTGGAGGTGGAGGACTGTGTGTGGCAGCTGGATCCTTGGGGGTCACCTGGGGCAACTGGAGCAGCTGGGTTCAGGAGGGAGTGATGAGGGCACAGCCCATGAATAACACGTCTACAAAGAGAACTGGAGGAAGACCAGGGACTTAGGTTTGCCATGAGATCATGATGGCAGCAGTAATGACATCTGAGGGGGAGGGGGATGGGGGGCAGTAGCATCGGCTTCTCCTGTTGGCCCCAATGCCCCCTGTCCTGGCTTTGCCTGGGTAGGAGCTGAGGCACCTGGCCCAACCTCAGTTTCTACACTTGCCCATTGCAGGAGATGGACTTGGTGATCTCTGGGGGAATTTCCAACTCTGACAGCTGTCTGTGGACCCCCTACTGGACCAGGTGGGCTGCACACCCTGCAGATGGGTGGCTCAGGGTCAGAGTCCCCCTCAAAGAGGAGCAGGGGGCTGAGATGAGTGCCTCTTCTGGTTAATTAGGTCAGGCCCAGCTGCCCACCTGGCTTCAGGTGATCTTCTGCCCCAGAAGCTTTGTCTGCTCACCTGTGGGCAGTGTTCTGGGGCCCCCACAACAGGGCTGGAAAAGATAGCCAGGAGCCCTGGAGGCTAGACCTTGATTCTGCTGGGAACCCCAACATGAAGGCTGGTTCTCTTGGGTCTAGGTGGCCATTGGAGATGCCATTTTTTCCCGCCCTGTTAACAAAGGATTGCCTACCGATAAAAATACAGGATGTCTGTTAAGTATATACTTCAGATAACAGCAAATAACCTTTTTAGTATATTGCTCAAGACATACACTAAAAAATCTGCAGTTCAACTGAAACTCAATTTAACTAGGCATCCTGTTTTATGTGGCTTCTAGCTTCACGCCAGGAGCAAGGAAGGGGTCTCTCGAGGGCCTCACAGTTCCTGATTCCAGGCTTCTGCCCTCATCCAAGGGCATGGCTGTTTCTGGAAGGTGATTTCAGAAACTCAGGCTCTAGGATGGTGCCACCAACTGAGGCTAGAAGCAATTCATGGGGAGCCCGGAGGCCTCGGTTCTGGTCGCAGCTCTGCTGCTGACATTGGCCGAGTCAGTCCTCTGAGCCCAGTGAGCTGAGCTGTGCGCCCTCTGCAATTCAGTGTGGAGGTGAAATGCCCAGACTCTAGATTTAACAGATTTGGGCTCTTTCTGGCTGCTACACTTCTCTGAACCTCAGTTTCTACATCTGAAAATTGGGGAAACGATAGCACCAACCTTAATGGATTCGGTGGGGGGAGGGAGATAAATGAAGCCGTGCATGGGCTGGGCCCCACTCTTGTGGTGCTTGTGGCTCTGATGGCTCCGTGGGCGCCCTTTTCTCCAGCTTCTGTTCTTTCCGTCACACTTGAGAGGGTGGGAGGAGACAAGGACAGCCCAGGGTATGTGCAGGGAGCAGAGGATGGCACTGTCGGTGAGGGGCCTTTGAGGACACCAAGTACAATAGTATTCTCAAAGGCGGGCCCCCGCTAAGGGGCAACGGGAAATCGCTTGGGTTGTTCATAGCTGCTGCACACTGGGAGGGAGAGGCTGCTTCGGGCTCTTGGAGTGAACGCATGGGAGGCCTCCACCCAAGAGCTCTTTGTGCACCTTCACTCTAGGTGTTGGCGGTAACTCGGGTCATAGCTACTGAGTCTATATACCAGACCTCAGACCTTTATTCTACAGCAATAAGGAAGAACTTCCTACCAGCTGGGGCTGTGCTAGGTGGAGAAAGAGGGGCATGAAATTGTCAACCTGGGAAGACTTTTGAGAGAAGCCTGAAGCTCACTCCAGGAGCAGGGCTGGCAGGAGGAGGGGGCTCCATTCGATGATGAGTGATGAAGTTGGGACTTCCCCATCCCATTTGCCCCGTACCTGGCTCCAGCTGTAGCTAAGCACGGGGTTTCTTTTTTTTTTTTTTTTTTTTTTTTTGAGACAGAGCCTCAAGCTGTCCCCCTGGGTAGAGTGCCATGGCTTCACTGCTCACAGCAACCTCCAACTCCTGGGCTCAAGCGAGTCTCCTGCCTCAGCCTCCCAAGTAGCTGGGACCACAGGCGCCCGCCACAACGCCCCGGCTATTTTTTGGTTGCAGCCATTATTGTTGTTTGGCAGGCCGGGCTGGGGATTCAAACCCGCCACCTTAGGTGTATGTGGCTGGCGCCTTAGCCACTTGAACCACAGGCGCCGAGCCTAAGCAGGGTTTCTAATTGGCCTCGCTGGCAGGAGGGGTGATGGGTCCCAGAAGAGGAGGTGTGGCAGTCACTGGGGCTGAGTCTGAGCCCTCCGGGAGATGGGTGTGTACCATCGCTGGAAGTGATTAATCCCCCCAGGGGCTGCATGGACTGGTTATTTGGAGAAATATTTGTGTTTGGGGTAATTGTGTGACCTGGGGTGTCCGGGCCTGAAGAACCCTTAGGAATCCCCAACTCAGCTATCGACCCCTCTCCCACATCGCAGCGAGCTGGCTCACCACCCTGACCCTTGTAGCCAAGTGGGCTAGCTCACCACCCTGACTCCCTGGACCTGGCCAGACTACCCTGGCTGTTCCTGTCCTAGCCTAGGGCCTGGAGGTGGCTTGTGCCAATAAAGGATGGGCAGTGTGAGGGAATTCATTAGCTGTGGGCCCAGCATGACCATTCTTGTTTGCCCAGAGGCCAGAATCAGAGCCCGAGGCTGGAGGCCATAATGAGTATTTATTTTTTGGATGCAGAAGGCTGGCTGGGCAGGGGATAGGGACATTGTCCAGGACTTTTCCCAAGCCTTCCCCACCCCTGCCAAAGCAGCCGTGCAAAATAGACTCTTCACCTTGGAGAACAGAAGAATCCAAGGGGTCCAGGGAAGAGGGGATACCATAGGGTCTGGCAGATGCTTTTTCTGGGGCTCCCTATCCATATTTTGGAAAATGCAAATACCAAGGCAGAGTTATAAAACTGTGTGGTGTACTGACTGTGTCTGTTGAGTAAATTGATGCTTTTAACTCGCATAGATGAACAATGCAGCATAATTGTGCTCTTCGTGGGATAATTACAGGATTGATGCCGCCGACACTAATTTCCTGCGACAGGCTGCAGGCGCTGGGCTGGGACACCTTCTCTCCTTGCTCCATCTTATTGCTGTGTCATCACGACACGAAAGACACCCTACATGGGAAGGGACATTGAAAGTTCAAATTCTAGTATGACTGGTGAATGTGGACCTGGCTGGGGTCCTCTGTAAGTTCCAGGGGCCCTAGAAGCCAGACTTGAGACAGTGGAGTGTCTGTCGGGGTAAAGTACTGGCCTCAGGGTCAGTCAAGCTTTCATTCTACAGATCTCCCTGCCTCCCTGGGCCCCAGCTGCCACCTACCTTCCTGCATTCTTGTCTTGGAACTGTCCCCATTCTGCACTTTCTCCTCTTTCTTCTTGGTCCCATCGCCCCTGCCCTCACCAGGTTTTCCTCCCCCTTGCTGGGTCACATTCTTCCTATCAGGGTGGGGCCCTGGGGCTGTGAGGGCGTAAGAGGGCCCAGACACACAGGTCCTGCTCCTCTGAACCCTGAGAGCCCGAGAGAAGATTTGAGATGCCAGGAATGGAGGGGCAGTTGTCCCCTTGTGGTCCCGTAACCTCCTCCCTGCTTCTCCCTCCCTGTGCCGTCTTCTGCTTTGCTCTGTACAGAGGAGGCTCCTTCTCTGTGGCTTTGAAGCAGCTACTTAGTTCTGCCAAACAATTGCCCCTCAAAGGTGTTGGGGGTCGGATACGGGGCTGGAAAAAACTGGCAAATCCACACCCAACCAAGGACCACAGCCACGGGGAGGTGAACCCCAGCTGTGAGCAGGGGAAATCTGGGGGATTACAGTTGCTGCCCTCTAGTGGGCACGGGGTCCTTGGGGCTGGTGCTGAGGAAGCTGGGCCCTGCAGGGTCGTGGTAGAACCCTGGCCTCTTGGGTGACGTGGACCTGACTTTGGGTCTCCAAATGCACCCAGACCCCAGAGCAGAGAAGCCAGTCACCCTGCATTTGACGCCAAGCAGCTGAAGCCCTGCCAAGTGATTCTCCTTTATGCCTTCCCAGCACATCTATGACCCCCACTGCCTTCCACCTGGGGAGAGGAGGGCAGAGGGAATATCAAAATCTCTGCAGCAGGACCCTGCAGAGGGTATGGGCTAGCCAGGCTGGGCGAGGAGCCTGCTGGACACCGGGGACAGCAGGCTGGGCCTTCTGGTCTTGGCTTAGGAAGGAAGGTTGTGCCCATTCCAGAGGCACCACCTTGACCCTGCCATGCAGAAGGGTAGGATCACTGGAAAGCCAAACCAACCACCGCTGAGAACAGGATGGCTGGTGGTGTGACCTTGGGCCGGTCACTTAGCCTTTCTGAGCGTGTTTTTTCTCATGCTAGTTGGGGATGACATCATCGCTAGATGGGAATGACATTGTTCATTGTTTGTGCCTGTAAAGTTGGCAGCTTTATTTTTTCCCATTTCATAGATGAGCAATTCTATCATCCGTAGAGCATAGGGCATTGCTTTGGGAAGAGGAGAAGTGACACACGACTCAGACTCTAAACTCAGGGCCCTTCATTTTGGGGGCGTTCCAGTC